GGATACTTCGACACGTGGCAGGAGAAGCCGGGGATCGAACCAACAACCTTCCGATTGGGGGACGACCCGCTCTGCCGCTGAGCACAGCCGCCAAAATAACTTATGGCATTACAGTTTTTTCCCATTTCAATCTTAAGTAGTTTGCTACAGTATTCATGTCAGCTTTACATGACTATGGTTATGTAAAGGTTTATTTTGGGAACGCTGACACATTGCAAAGGGGTCAGAGTGGGTGGTGGGTTAGGTGTAATGTGGTTGTTGTTGATGCGGAGGAAGGTAGGGGTGCTGACGGAAACAGACAAAAATATAAAGGTGGAAGTGAAAGTGGCCGTTAGAAACACTGAGTGTTTGTGGGCACAGCAGCAAAGATGGATAAGTTCACGACGGTTCTGAACATTGCCAGGAAACAGACCAATCTCGGTTTCGGGCTGGTTGCCCTGCTGACAGCGGGGGGGGAGCAGATCTTCTCCTCGGTGGTCTTCAAATGTCCCTGCAATCAGCTCAACCTCCTGTACGGCATGGTGTTCCTGCTGGTACCCGCTCTGGCTCTGCTGCTGCTTGGCTACATCCTCAGCAAGAAGACGTGGAAGCTGTTCACGGGTCTGTGCCAGCGCAGGGCCGAGCTGTGCCGCTGGAAGAGGCTGGTTGCCGCCGGGACGGTCCTGTTCCAGATCAGCACCACCGCGCTGGTGGCTCCTTCCAGCTGGGTTGCCGTGGCTCTGCTGAACGGGAACTACTACGAGTGCGCGATGACCGGCATCAACGTGAGCGCGTACAGCGAGCATGTGTGCGCAGGTAGGAGCTCCGTGGTCCAGTGTCAGGAGGAGCTGTACACGTTTCCCTGTGGGAGCAGCAAAGTTCCCCAGGCAGAGAGACACGATGTCCTGCTCACCCTGAGAGCTGAGTCTCAGGTTAGTGCTCAACTCTTCCAACTTTATTTTATTAGTTCATAAAGAAGTTCAAATTCTTTAACTTTCTGATCAGTTGATCTCAGCAGAGTGTGTACAGAGACATTATACTGCATTACAGTGGTTCACAACCTTTTTCCTCAAGAGGCCCCTTTTCTATCATTTAGTAGACCGAGTGACATATTTTATGGATTTTTCATAAATATTCAACACTGTACAATGAACCCAAACAGGGAACTCAGTAGCTCAGTCAGCAGATTATTTCCTTTTTAGGGAACATGTTGTAAAATTCTGTGTGTGTATAATAATTATACATTATATATTTTTTTTAAATAATTTTTAACAGTCATACGCCAAAGCTTCTATCTTAGAAGCTATCTTGGTTCATTTCTGTAAATGTGAAGTGAACTGAACAATGGCCAAACGCCAGGGACAAGTAAACACTTAATTTGTCAAAAAAGAACCGTATTAAGTATGAATGATTGTTCAAAATGATTTAAAAAAAAATACATAATACAGACAGAGAATTGTATAAAATGTTCCCTAAATAGGAAATTATACTTTCACTTCAGTTCACAGTTTGGATTCATTGTACAGTTTTGAATATAAATGTTAAATGGACTGTACTTATATAGCACCTTTCTAGTCTTCAACCACTCAATGCGCTGTACACTACATGCCACACTCACCCCATTCACACACATTCACACACTGATGGAGGCAGTGGCTGCCATGCAAGGTGCCAACTGCTCACCAGAACGGTCGGTCACACACAGTTATACACCAGTATCTTGCTCAAGGACACACACATGCAGCGAGAGGAGCCCGTGATTGAACCTTCCGATTAGTGGACGACCAGCTCTACCTCTGAGCCACAGCCACCCCAGTACATATATTATCATATGAAATATCCATAAAATATATCACTTAGTCAGTTTACTAAATTATAGAAAAGGGGTTTTAAACAAGGCTTATAAATGTGGAGAGATGATGAAGTGATGGGCTGCCACGTAGCAAGTCTATAGAGAAAGTTTCAGCAAAATCTTTAAGTTACCTACTGAAGCTTTAATTACAGTAAAAGCAGAACACAGACAAAGGCGGCAATAAAAACCGTGCAAAGTATGATTCCAAAGAGGAACAGCAGACAATAACAACGAGTTAGGTTGGCTTACTTCTTTTTTTAAGATATGCTGTTATGATTTACAGTGTATTTTATGTCAAAATGCCTGCTGTGTAAAAGGTCTATTGCACAATGCACACCAAAAGACATGAAAATTGTGAAACCCAGTTTGGCATATCCATGATATATGTTTAGCAATGTGCACATCAAAGGAAGTCATTAACAAGTATTCATCAGTTCTTAAACATCTAACTGCTGAATTAATAGCGAATAAATATATATATATCTATATAATATTTCCAAGAGAAGATATACAAAAGCAGCAAACTGAAATTGCCTGGGCGGAATTTAATAACCAATCAGAGCTGAGAAAGATAGAAAGACGCTTTGGGTTGTTGGCTTGAAAATAGTTGACTATTGAGTCTTAACAACCAACTATTTTACTTGGCTCTGACTGACTATTAAAATCCCATTGACAACACTATGGCATATTTTAAAAAACAAACAAACAAAAAAGCCACCTGAATATATTTATTATTAATGCAATAATAACAATAATAACATGAACAATTGCACAAAACATTGTTCTTTTTTTCCCTATAATATAGCTTTTATTTCATTCTGTCTCTTAATGGTCACCACAGATTCTGGGTTGGCTGCTCATTGCCTCCATCATGCTGTCCAACCTGCTGCTGTCCTGTGTGGCTCGGTGCATGTCCCCCATCAGCTACCTGCAGCTTAAGTTCTGGAGGGCGTATGCTCAGGAGGAGAGCAACATGATGGATTCATACACTGCTAAGCAAGCCAAAGAGCTCGCTGAGAGGAACTTGAAGAGTTTCTTCAACCAGACACTGCCTGAAAACATCCTCACCCCGTCGAACAGGGACTGGCAGAAGATCTCCTCCCTCTACAAGTTCAGCACCAAAGACCACTACTACAGCACCTTGCACCGGTATGTGGAGACGTTCCAGGAGATGGATAATGAGATGATGAGGATGGCTTCGGTTAAGTCAAGCGAGTCTGCTGACAACCATCCTGCTGTTCTTACTTTTGTAGATGATGGCAGGATGGTACTTTGAGGAGGTTTGACAGCATCCAAGGATTGTCTATGTTAGGTTTAGACCTAATATATGATGATAAGAACCAGTTTGCTTCATCATTACCAAAATCACATGATGCATATATCATTGTGATAGATGAGGAACCCTAAAGGTTAGAAAAGAGTGACCAGAGGTCAGTGGAAAGTTTTGGACTGTGCACATCTGGGTGGGAAATGCTGCTGTGTAGGGTTGTGCGATATGATTATATATATTGTGTGACGATAAAAATAAAATTCATATTATGCTTTGGTGAAACTACTCTGAAAGAATAAATGCTAAAAAAGAAAGAAAGAACGCTGCTTTGTATTTAACTAAACATAGTTGACTACAGCTAGTGGCTGATATTGAAGAAGAAAGAAATTGTTGAAAATAAAAACTGAAGTGAATCAGATTCCATCAAACCACTCAAAACCAGCAGTGACTGTGGCAGCATCACATAGCATCAACCCACTGGGCGCGCAATAGTTGATGCCCGTATCATATGCTAGACGCTCCATACAGACAGAATATAAGGGGTGCATTAGCAAATATATGTTAATCTGGAGAGTGAGTTTAATCCAAATGCTAGCTTTCTGAAGAGCTGATGTGTAAATAGGTCAGGAGAGTAAATGTGCATCAGCCATATGACATGCACCAAGATGGTGCTGGTGTGTACAAAACAGTGGGTGCAGGCTGTAATAACATTATGAATAACCTGTATAGCAGGTATAATGTTTACCATCTTAGTTGAACATGCTAAAGTATAAATATTTTCTAATTAGCACTTAATATAAAGTAAATGGTAGAGTGATTTATATTGTGCTTGTATCAAAAATGCTTTACAGTTTCCCTCTCAATCACCCATTCACACACACAGGTGTGTAAATACACTGTAAAAAAGAAAAAGTGTGAATCTTTACGTTTTAGAAAAAAAAGAATCTGTATTGTAATGTCATACTTTCAGTTGCAACTATTTAATTTTCAAGCACCAAATAATGAAAAATGTGGTTCACAACTCACTGTTTTTAATGCAATACATTCAATTCAATTCAAACAGAAGTTATCTCGGGACACTTTTCAAATAGAGCAGGTCTAGACCGAACTCCTTATAACATTTACAGAGACCCAATAGTACCACCAATGAGCAGTGACAACAGCAACAACAGTAACCGTACGTTAATAATACTTATAATAATAATAACACTAATATCAGTGATATTAGCAATGGCAGTCAAGCAGGACCATGGCAGGAGGCTCCACCAGGATCCATGAGAACC